TCTGATAAAAATATTGTTCCATCCCTTATCTGCAACTGGGATGCCAGTAATAGTAGAAGAACTGATTGTACGGGTACTTCTTATGAAGCATCAATACCAAAGTATTCCATAAAGTACTACTTCATAGTAGTAAGATTCATCCTTTGCATAGATTTTTTTTTATTTTGTTAAAATTATTGTTTATTATTATGTATCCATTTGCATATAAAGTAATGTTAAAAAAAAAAGGATGGGTTGGGTTTTTGCAGCCCTATAAGACCAACCCAACCCTTTTTCAACTTTAGTAAATCACATATTACATTAAAATAAACGACAATCTCCTTTAAAACAATAAAACTACAATTTTATATATTTCTTTATAAGCTCAGACATTATTTTACTGTGTAACAAAATTCAACATGAATCCATTTAAATAAAACTAACCCTCTAAATGAGTCATTTAATGAACACGCCTTCCCTGCATCCCCCACTAGGGGGCACACCACCTACTTTTGAAACAACTGTGTTAAAATATGACCTTGTACATGGTTTACTACTTTGGCTTATCTGAACTTCTCTCTTTCTTAGTGCAGAATCAGGGCATGTTTTTCTGACTTCTTACCTCTTTTGTTGTCAGTGGGTTAGGAGCCTGATTAGCGTCTCAGCAACATTTGGTAACAGTATCATCTGAGGATGGGGCTCTCTGTGCGTTACCAGAAAACTGGGGTGCTGATGATGCAGAAGAAAGGAGTCTGAAGTAAAGTCTAAAGATATTTTGACTGTCTAACCTTACATCTATCTCACACTGTCTCTGATTGGTCGATCTGCCCTCCTATCTTTGAAGGAGGCGGATGTAAGATGAGCGTTTTGTTCTTAGTCACATATGTATGGAGTGAATTTTGTTTCATTATTAACAGAAAGAACATGTTTTGCAAATAGAAAAATATTAAATTCCATCCGGAAATTAACCTTTAAACTCTTCTTAATTATTAAAAAGGTTTTCAAAATAACTTTGCAGTTTTGTCAGGTTTTACTTTTACCACTTTTAATTTTGTCGAAAAAAAAAAATCTAATTATATTTTTCAAATAATAATGATATTGTTTTATAAATTTTTTTGCAGATCTTATATTTTTGATTTTTCTTTCTTGATTTTCTTTCTTTTCTTATTTTTTTATCTTTTGTTTTTCAAATTTAATTTTACAAATTGCATTTTTTTGTTTTCTATTGATCACACTCTCCTTACTCCAAGCCCAATGCAATAATCTACATTGATCTATACAATGTTCTTTCTAACGTCCATGTAGACCAATAGAAACTTTGAGAAAACAGCAAAGTTTTCAAATTTTCAAAACTATTTCTCGATGAGATTTTATTTCTGGATTCATTTTTTTTTTTTCAAATTTTAATATGCAAAACTAATTTTTTTGCTTGCAAGAATATGGAACAAAATTCATGCCATATGTCTCTCATATCTAATGGTTGTGCACTTTAAAAAAATATGCCAAAGCAAATCATTCATGTATAACCAATCCTTTATTATTTTCTATAAATGTTGGAAATGTAATGGTAGTGTTTGGCGTTATAGCTGATGATGGCAGAGTTTCTTGTCTTTTTGCTCCTCTTCAGTGTAATCAGCCTCCAGCCAGTTCAGCATTTCCTTGACAACAGCCTGAAGACCTCTACCCAGCTCAGTCTTGCTGTAGGGTCCTCCTAATGGCGGCACGTGGACAAAGGCGGAGCGACCGCGGCCCTGGTGCAGCGACGTGTAGTAGGTGTAATCACAGAGATACCTATTGGGTCCAAAGCACGGTGGTTAGATGTAAAATCTGGTTCGGCTTCTTCGTTTTCCACCAAACGGCTAAACTGAAAACGTTCTGCAGGAGAAGATGAGTCACTTGCCTCCCTGCGTCCTCAGAGACGGACACGGTTACTCCGATGTTTGACTCGTTGACCTTTTTGCACACCGTGTGCATGTCTATGACGGACTTTATGCTGTCGGCTCCGTTCTCCATGCAGCAGTGAGAGGCTGGGCAGAAGCTGCGGTTGTCCAGACGTTCGTAGCCCTTATTGTGTCCAAACTGCTCTAGAGTGACGGAGGTCGCCAACCCGGAAACGCCCACATGGACAGCCAGCTGCTCACAGGACAACAATCACTAATTTTAGCCCTTTGTTGCCAGCATTATTAGTGAGTCCTGATAAGACATTATTATCACCTATTTAAGTGGTGTTAGAGTCAGTTTTGGACTCAAAAGTGATTAGAAAGTTTATTTTTACAGGATGGACAAAAGCAT